TTTAAACTAACTGATCGATAACTCAGTCGCTACTTGATTTCTGAACCTTAATGGTTCTGATAGGTACTCCATGGTTATGTACCATGCCTTGATAGTCCTCAATTAAATAGGACTGGTTAGAAACTGAACGTATCCTGTTGTTAGTCACCAGCGTAGGGTGAAAGTACTTCTGGTACGTGATTTGATGATCACGTCCAGCTTGAATGGATCTATCAAGAAGCTTAGAGAAAACAAGAGGTAAGAAAAGAAAACTGCCGTTGCGAAACTGTCGGTTGAAGAAACGCTACAAGATCAGGTTGCACAGGACTGATAATGGACACGGCCGATCGAGCGGCCAAACTTTGTTCGGTAATATGTTCACAAAGTGTGCACCCACCGCTGCGAACTGCCTCCCACATAACATCCCTGCTTAAAAGGAAAGGGAAAAGCTCGTCTCCTTTCCCACTTCGGCAAACAATACACATGTATCATGAAGAGGGTCCGTAGAATATAAATCAATGTAAGCGCATTTGTGACTGGTGTTTTCGACAAAATCATTCCACAATTTATACATAATACGAAAATCGCTGATTCGTGTACGATCATATGCACTTTCACGTGCAATCAAGGAACAGAATTTTGTTTGTCCGATTGCGGTGTTTTCTATTGTTCCAATATCTTTTCTCTCATCGATGTGGGCTTTTCTGCATGTTTCCTTTTTGATTGTGCATGATGATATTTGAAGCAGTTTTTTCTGTCTGTCAACAACCTATCTGCCTTGAGTATACAAAACCCGAGTTTTTCGTACGGACTGTTCCACTGCAGTCAATAATGAAACTTGAATTTCATTAACCAAAGATATAAATCACAATGCGCTGCAAGACCGAAGTGTATTAGTGTGATATTAGCAGCAATAAGGTGCACACACTTTTGTGAGCGAGGCTCTGACCAACGGACAGGGCTAGCATTACTGGATCACGAAAAGATAAATTGTGATGCAAACCTTGAACGTCTCTATCGTTGGTTTTCTTTGCAATAAACCTTAATAGACCGCTCCAAGAAGAGGAAAAATCATCCTACTCTCGAATGTAAGATCAGCCTTTGGAGGGAGCACTGACTCTGCATGCATTGTGCATTTGTTCCCTTGTGTGATATCACTTTTTTCGGTGTCTCCTTTTCTTAAATCTTTCGTCTACTTCTTCCTTATTAGTAGGCCAAATGAGAGATTAAAAGACGGCAACAAAAGCTGGCGCCCGAATTATGTATGGTTACACGAGGTGGAAAACTGAAATCCTGTTACGATCCAAACCGGTCTCGTTGAACGTGGCTGTACAGTACACTCCAATGGGAACAAAATCCAATTGAATATGCCAGTGATACTGAGCTCTGAATGAAAATAAAAGTAACCAATCGCAGTACGAAGACAGAATCCTCCAAAGACAAATAATGAATAATAAATTACTCAAATGCAAACTAGTGACTAACGGCAGGAACTCAGTATACATTATCTATATGTCGAAGGTAGAAAATAAATAAAAGTGGTACTAATGGGGCATTCCATGTTAACACACAGTTAGCAGTTTCTTGTGACTATTGTCGAGCGATACGCTTCTTTGATTCAGGCTTGCCATCCTTCACGCCAAATCCTCATTTGATTCAGTCGGCCTGAGGTGCACTCGGGAATCCCTTCATTGGAGTTTCTCTGTTGTGCCAGAGCTTATCAGTATTTTATGTTCACCCAACCGTAGGGGATTTGAACTTCGGGCCTCTGGCGTGTACGTTTCATTATGCCGACTAGCACACATCAGGACCGACCAAGTTTGTTCAAATATCGATCAGTCAGCTCGTTTGGCTGAACAGAAGCAACGGGAGGCAGTATGCGATGCTTGTTATCATTAAGCGCAAACGTTGCATTCAACTGACTACCAGTATGGATATATTTTATCCTCTGTTTTGAGAGGGCAGATTTCTCCATAGCATCCGATTTATTGATTGGAATTTCCGACATTAGTTGATGTTGACCAGAACTGAGATAATTCAGATAGATAGCTTGACCTGTGGTTCAACGTTATGGGTTCAGTTCTGGTGAATCACCAACACCAATACAAGTCGACCTCTATCTCAGTGGTGTAACACACCTCTCATTACTCGAATTTTGTCTGTGTAATGTCATAAAGTGCTGGTGTGGAACCAAACGGGATATTAAAAGGTAACACCTAGAACTTGCAAACTCGGTTGAAACTCGATTCAAGCTTGTATAGGCCCCATGCAAAGATAAGATCGATAATTCCGAAGAAGGGTAAAACAGCTGAACAACTTGCCTACTAAAGTTACTTTTTCATCTCGGGATGTGATACTACACGATGTTAATAAATAACTGTGTAACCATAGGTTTGAACAACACCGATCAGGTGGAATCTGTCATGAGATCACTGAAGACGCAAAAGCGGATTTCCATTATATTTCTGGTTGGAATGCTCATACCATAAAAAGCGGGCAATGAAAGCAGACCAGTAGGGTGATATATATGTGTGTTGATATTCTTTTGGCACGATCCTATCGGAATCCTGAGTTAATGCGGCTATCTAGCAAACGAGGGTTTGTACAAAACCGAACAAGACACTTCACGAAACGTATGATAGTTGCATTTTGAGTACATTTGTAGAGTGAAAAACGAGAAGATACAAAAGCGTAAACAAGCGTGCGGAAAAGGGGGAAGCAAATACGCGCTGACCAAATAAGGGCCTCAGTGAGGTCAAACAATGAAGCTCTAGAGTGGAATGTTATAAGAAGGCAAGATAGCTGGTGTCACTACTGAGCCCTACTCCTAGAGGGCTAGGGAGAGCTTTCAATAAGGGTGTGTGCATGTGTATTGTCTTCTGTTGCTTAATAGTCCAAACATTTTGCAGCACGTAGTGGAAGCGCTAGTAAGCTTCCGGAAGTGAAAGTAAACACGCGCTGACCAAAGAAGCGGTCTTGATGCGGTATAATAATTAGACGCCTGGGAGTAAGGTTACATGCGGATCAAGGAAGCGCAATGTAACGCATCGACCGAATACCAAGAGCTACTTATGAGCTACATTAGATACATTTGTTAGAAAACAGTAATTTATCATTAAAGTATATTCAGAATATTTGTTTTGATTTGAAGAACCATTTTCATTATTAAATCAATCGAGGTGCACGTATTTAGGAGTCAAACGTCCCTGAGTTTTGTTTCAAGTTAAGCCGGGCAATGATCGTTTGGGTGTATCGTTAGGTGTATTTTGTGATATGTTTATATATTTGTTATTGTTAAGTATTTCTATTATCATCAGGAATGCAAGTAATCAAACGGGAAACATAATTTGTTTTGGTATTTCACGATCATAAATATCATCCATATCTGTTAATAATCCATAGGTGTTCCGGATCATTTCGAAAAATATGGGCGTTGTGCTCATGGTAACAATAAAATCAGGTTTGTTTTAGCCACAACGTGAATACCAAAACACAAGATTTCGGTGACAACGTTTCGACCTTCTAGGAAGGCCTTTGTCAAGTCTGTTTAATCGGTTTCTCAAAGACACAAGCTTTAAG